TCGTTAAGACCTTTCAAATGATACCCCACACGACATTTTTGACGCGCCAACGTTTCGACACCCTATTGTACCCATCGCACTGAACATAGTTCTTCAATCGTGCATTCGTTTACTATATCTCTCGTAACTTTTAAACCGTGCGTCTGATTTGAACGCAATATTCGACAAGTTTGTGCAAAATTACATAATTTAAAACATTGTCTAACATCATGAAGCCCTACAGCAACTCGATGTACTCTAAAATCGATGTCGAATATTATGATTATATTTTTGTGTAAATGGATACGCATGTTTGTTTTTTTCCGCGCACTCGGATGACATTGAAATGCGAATTTTATTGTGCTTGCGAAAATATCACATGTTTTGTTCGATAATAATAATAATGAAGTTGTTTTTGTATTTATATATATACTAGCTGACCCCATGGGTTTCTTTTATTAAGTTGATAGTCACCAAACGAGCGTTTTTCGATAATGATCTGAAACCTAACCACTAAATGGCACAAATTTCAAAATGTAGCGATTGATAGAGTGGTAATAGGTTAAGGGGTAAGAAAATCATTTATTTGTGGTGGCTCTTACACTATGGACCTGCCTTCGGGCAGACTACCATTTATTATTATTATTATTATTATTATAACGATTGATATCGAATGAGCAGTTTTAGAAGTTACCACATGTCGTCCATGAATTGTTTCCAATAATACTCCGAAGACGTCGTGTTACCCCGCCCTGGGACTTCTTAATTATCCTTTGACGTCGTCGATGACACCTCCAATTAATTTCCATTGATAATAATTAATGGGGTAATTTGATGATTAATTGTGAATTTAAACTTTGAGTGATCGGATCGGAGACACCTTTTCGGAAAGTTTTGACGCATTTAATTTGCCTCTGTAATTATATCTTGTATATAAAATTCTTCTATGCGGATGTATGTATTCAAACTCTTCCTACACGGTTATTCCAGTTTTGATATATCATTTTGGTGTTTATCAAGGAAAAATTTTAAGATGTTATGAATTATAAAACTATAGTAATATTGTAGAAATAAATGGAATAAGTGCAAAAAACAATATAACAATGTTTGACATTTAAAACATTTTGACACATGAGAATTGTCACCTACCAGAAATGTTCAAATTGTTCAAAAATTATGTTGAATTATGCTAAGAAAATTAGTGGTGCATGGCTTTGTGCCTTGATGCAAATTGCTGTAACTTAACGCACCGTAGTTAAAAATTCGAGTAATGACATTAGTGAGAATTATCAGAATTATGCTTGGTTATGTCAACGAGCAATTCTTGCCGCAAAGTATAATGATGTACACGCACTGAATTTCACCATTCAATCAAAAATTGCTGGCGATTTGGTGACATACCAATGATTCCGACTGGTCTTCCGTTTGACTCCAAACGATTGCAATTTCCAGTTCGCCTTGCGTTCGCAATAACAAGTCGCAAGGCCAATCGCTTAGTGTTTGCGGGATAAATTTCAAATAGATTATTCAGAAAATCATTGTTTTTCACATGGACAGTTATATGTTGCCTGTTCACGAGTTCGGAAACCATCCGCTTTGTTTGTGTTAACGTCAGACCAAAAAACAAAAAATGTGGTTTACCAAAGAGCACTTCAATGAAACGGATAATTTGCGTATTCACTATCATTTACTTAGAGAAGTTCAACTAAAAAACACTTCATTTTTGTAATCGAAATAAATTCATTACTGTTGTGTAATAAAATCAAATTTTTCCTTTCCAAATATAAAACAAACAAAAAATTTCTTCTTCTTTCTAACGAAACCATCTGGTGGCGAAACGGAGTTTGTCGGGTTTGCTAGTATATATATATATATATATATATATATATATATATATATATTCTATGTATCTATTCCTCTATCCCCATTACATATGTCCAAACACAAATAAATTAAAGCGTATAAGTACCGCCTTATTAAGCACAGCAGAGCACCCTCGCCGAACTACAATTGGGGGCCCCCAACCGACCGAGGCAGCGTGGGGCGCCTTTGGCTGGCGGGTGCTACTCGGTACTACTAGTATTAAGGGTGTGAGTTAATGGTTTCTCGTCAGTATATTATCACGACCGATTAAATAATCCATTCGCCTCGATTGCTTTGTTTGTTCGTGATTATTGCCTGCGCCTTGCTAGGATAGGGATTGAGGGGATGAGGGGATGATGATGATGTAAGAATAAGGGGAGTCGTCGTGTTTAATCACATGTATATTTGTATATTATATTTGTGTATGTATATATATGGGTAGTTATCTGGCTATGTAAAATTAGTGTTGGTTTTTACATCTCGATATCAAGAATGTATATGTATATTTATATTTGAAATGAAACCCTATTACTCTGATGGATTTTTTACCCAGATATTATTATTATGCTTGTTAAGACCTTTCAAATGATACCCCACACGACATGTTTGACGCGACAACGTTTCGACACCACATTCGATCCATCGCACTGAACATAGTTCTCCAATCGTGCATTTGTTTATTAAATCTCTCGTAACTTTTCAATTCAATTTAAATGCAATATTCGACAAGTTTGTGCAAATGACTGGGGTTATGTCATTTTGGACTGCATTTTTCTTTCAATATACATTTTTTTTTTTTAATTTTCAAAATTGGTCAAAACTAGTGGTGTATGGCATCGTGCCTTAAGACAAATTGCTGGAATTTCCAGTACAGTAATGAAATATCCGAGGAATATTAAATGTTTTCAAATAGATTATTATAAATATTGTAACTTACCTATGTTTACAGAAAGTAAATAAACAAAACTGATTTGATAACTTGATTCATTATCAAATTTAAAATGAAGGACATTGTCTAATATTTATAAGAATTATATAAACTGAATTGCAAAGTTAAAATTATTTATTTTAAATATGTAAGTGGGCTTTAGAACTTTTATTATTTTCGATATTCAATAAAATAAAAATATTATTTCGAAATGAACAAAAAACTGTTTTTCTAAAAGTAATCGTCTCGTCAGCATAAGCAGAAGGTTCTTCGATTTCGATTTCCTTTGAAAACTGCCATTTTTGCACATTTTGCTGAGTATCTCCGAAACGGCTAGACCTGCCTTTACCAAAAACTAATCAGCACATCTCCATATCGATAGGAATCGAATGTTTTTTGAATCATTCAAATGGGTTCATCCGTGTGCCCAAAAACGTGGACGAAAAATTGTATCCATACATACATACAAACACACACACATCAATTTTTCTGGGGTATGCCAAAATGTTAAGAAACCTTCAAAACGTCGAGAAATGCAAAAAATTTCATTTTCGATTTTCGGAAGCTAAAAATTCAAAATTTTCAAGATAAAATCTAATTGTTTCAGACCTTTTATCAATATTAAATTACAGTACAGGAAGTTCCAGTGATTTGCTTTAAGGCACGATGCTATACACGACTATTTTTCTATTTTGTTGTTTGAATAAACATTAAATAACTTTCTTTTACCTTTCTTGTAAATCACAAAAAGTGAAAAAAAAAACACGTTTTTAGGCTGTTACCCTTCAAGCTGTATGAAGCAACCTTCTGCGAAACGTACTTTAGAAGTATTTTATTTGAAATGTAAGATTATGGGATTAAAAATTCTTGAAATTAGTTATTGAGTTAATTTTTAAATATATTGCTAATCCTCCTCATTGAGTTTATTTGAATTTTTGCAATTAGTTCAGTAGCTTTTGAAAAAAAATTACGAAAAAATCTAGCGGTCCTACAGATCTAGTGATCTTACGGTTTAGAAACTTCTGTAAAGAAAACATATAAAGTGTTATACATCGTTACAAAGGTCTCAAAATTCTTAGTTTTTTACCCATATATCGCAACTTCGAATTCCGCACGGTGTGGCCTACAGGCAAGTTGCTATCGAAAAATTCCAATTTTTAAATGGGCCACCCTATAGATACTTTATCCTTAATTTCGATGTCATAGGATTTAGAATGTCGTGAAACTTCTAGTAAACATAAAATTAGATCTGAATTTCTGGTTAACACATTTGATACTTTCTTCTTCTGCTCGTCAGTAGAGTCCCTTATACGACAATTGCAACAGAATCCTTTTCGCATTTACATTATCGCAAAGGATAATTTCGTTGTTTTTATCTATTTGTTCCTACAAAATGGCGAAAACGAATGTACGAACAGCAAAATTTATTTATCCCGTTTCGCGTTGAAAGTGTCCGACGCGAATTCTACTAGGATTTATTGCAAGACGAGTCGAGTTCCTTGTTTTCCTGCAGACGTTCTCCTTTCCTGCAGCAGCAGCAGCAGGAGGAGAATAAGGACGCTACATACATACATTCAGCAACGTTTATTTCATTCGGAAAGATTTATGGCGATGATGAAATCTTTCTCCATTTGTGTAAAACACACTAGATAATATATACACACACACTTGTATATATATATATATATATATATATATATATATATATAACCTTATCACATTTAAGTATGAGGGCTAGACACAAATTTGCAATAAAATTGTAATGCCAAAATGCAATGTACTTTAGACCACTAACAAACAGACTTTCTTGACATTTTTTCATCAATGAAAGGGGGAGTGCTGTGGCGATGACTTTTAATACATAGTTTTACTTTTAATCTATTATTTTTTATAGTTTAATGCAATACAACTTGTACAATATAAATTTTAATAATTTTTTTACAAGTTATTTTTATATAAAGGGGCAGCGTTCTGTTATCAATATTATTTTTCATGTGTTTCTATTTTTAAAGATTATTTTAGGAAATTTATGTTTTCGTAACTTTTTTGTTTAGAACTAAGAATCTTTTTTACCCTTTTTTTTCTCTTTTAATTTGGAATCTTTTTTTGTTTCGAAAATTGGGATTTTTTGGTAAAAATTGGAGCTCATTTTTGAAAATTTAAGAATGATTTGTTAATATTATGAATATTTCGAGATTTTGTTTTTTATTTTCATTATTTTTTTTTGCAGGTGACAAAAGATTTCTTTGGAAGGATTATTTCAAATACTACGTCAGGACCAACTAATGGTGAGTCCTAGATTAATCTATTTATGCATGTATATGTATGTTTATATATATATATATATATATATATATATATATATACATATTTTTTTATATGTTTGTGTCACAATGTTTGTCCCGAAGGTTCTCCCAAACTACTGAACCGATTTTAAATTTGATTTGCACATCGTATGCATTTATATCCAACTTAGGTTATGGGCAATATTCAAAATCTTAGTTAAAATTCGAAATATTTAAATCTTGAAAATTTCAATTAATTTTGACAGTCATGAGTTCGAAAAACAAAACAGTGAAAAGCCACTTTTCAATAACATATTTTTTGGTTGAAAACTAAAATTTTTTTAACTAGAGAACTTTTTTTGATAACTAGAGACCTATTTTCAACTAGAGACCTGTTTAAGAAATATACGAGACCTTTTTTTGATAACTAGTAACCATTTTGGGAATGTAAGAGACCTTTCTTTGATAACTAGAAACCTTTTTTTAACTGAAGACTTTGAATCTAGGAGACCTTTTTTGTGTATATAAGAGACCTTTTTGATAGCTATAAATATGGTTAATAAAAGATACCCTCCTTTGATAACTAGAAAACTTTTAACAAACCAGAGACCTTTTTTGGAAATCTATGAAACCTTTATGTAATAACTGGAAAGTTTTTAGTAAACTAGAGACTTTTTGTGGCTAACTAAAAACTAGGTTTTTTTTTGGTAACTAAAAACCTTTTTTTTAGACTATGCACCTTGTTTGAAAAGAGACTAATAGACCATTCTTCGATCAATAGACATCTTTTTGAAAATTTAAGAGATCTTTTTTGATTACTAGAAATCTTTCCTGGAATCCAGGAGACTTTTCTTTGATAACCAAAAACTTTTGTTTGATTATTAAAAACCTTTTTAAACTTTTATTGTTAAACCTTTTAAACTAGAATTTGTTTTAAAACTAGAGACCATTTTTGGAAATACGAAAAGTTTTTATTTTGAAAACTTTGCATTTAAATTCAAAAATATCATCTTTTACTTTTTTGGCAAAGAAACCTTTTTCTATGAAAATTTTGAAATTTTTTTACTAAAAAATTCAAACTTTGTACAAATTAGGAATTAATTTTCCATAAATTTATAATAGTAACACTGCTGTTTGAAAAAAAGTAGAAGTGATATTATCAGTAGCCAAAAGCTTAAGGAGGTATTCTAGTGTAGAAATTAAAAAAATCGATTTTTTTTTTCATTTCATATTTTCAAAGTTTAACTATCTAAGAATATGGGTACGAGAAGGTTTTTGAAAATTTGAATTATTTTCGGAGATATAGGCATTTTACTGACTCGGTCTCCATACTGGTTTGGCTTCACGCAAAACTTTAAATGCGTTTTTCTCAGAACAGACTTTTTCGGTACTGTTTACACGATTTCTCGAGTTTTAATCGACCGATTCACTTGAAATGTTCAGAGAGTCTTGTTTATAGACCTATCTGTAGCCCGAACTAGCATCATCGCCAAATTCCAATTTTTACTGTATTTAAAAAATTCGAGAAACTCAAAAAAAACAGTAAAAACATTTTTTTTTTCAAACTGTCACCAATTTGTAAAAAAAATTCTTTTTACTCATCGCTAGTTCGGACGATTGCGACATCATTGTAGATTAATAATCTTTTTATTTCGGATGGCTAGGAGGGCTGAAATCATGTCAAGACTGAGGTGCCAATTTTTTGAGACCACCCAATTCATCAGCTGCCAGTTTTTACAATTTTCAACTTTTTTTTTAAATTTTTGTTTTGTATTTTAATAATATTAATTAACAAGCGGTAAAAAATAGATAGTAAAAACATTTATTGCTATCTTTTACGACACTTTAAAAATGACCTAAAATTCATCGATCTACACTAGAATACCCCCTTAAGAATGTTGAAATTTTTGTTTCTTCTTCACACATAAACAGTGTTTTAACTACTTGCCAATATTCTCCAATATCAATCATCTCCTCCTCTAACTATTCCTCGAATTTCGTCTAAATTTCGACATCCACCGTCAATCTGACTGACTTACTTACTTTGCCTGATTAGTCGGAATTAGTGAGAATAGTGACACCTTACTCTCGAGAAGACGAGAAGACGTTTGCCTAATTTATCAAATTTCACCCTTACCTAAGACCGATTTAGTAGAGAGACACCTTGAAGGGAAGGATTTCTGGGTGCTACCAATTTTGATAGAGAGGTGCTGGTGGGTTCTATTAAGCTTATGATGTGATAATGGTGGCAGTGGAGGACTAAACCTAAAATCCTGCCTCTTATAAATAAGATAGTTGGTATTTAGATAATTGACATATTATTATACAACTAGATAAACAAACATAAGGAAACGCCAAGGAAGCTCTCTCATGAATAAATCAAGTGGATTTTTTCATTAATTTTTCATATTTTTATCAAAATGAAATTTCCCAATGAAAATTTTAAATCCTGAAGGTGAGGTTGGTGTTTTTGCCAGAAAATCTAATTTTCTAATTATATTGTTAATGTTTTAAATCCTTGTACACCAAAATTGGAACAAATATTAGGTTGTCAAATATCTCCCTTCCGCCTTTTTGTATTATAAACCAATAGCAAAAAAGCGGAAGGGAGATATTTGACAACTTAATATGTGACTGAACTGATTTTAATTTAAAAATTCAAAAACCATTTGGTGAAACTAGAATAATATTCGTGTCGATTAGTTGATTTTATTTAATTTTTAGAAAGATATTGAATTAAATTTAGGAGAACTTACTTCTAGTTCATCCCTGTATATATATATATATATATATATATATATATATATATATATATATACGTCGTCAATTAATAATTTACAGTAGATCCTCTTCCTTAAGTCTCCTAAACACTATCTCTATCCCTACAAGTTGGGTGTGATGTCATTAAGTGATTAAGAGGATATAATATGCATATTATGTATCCGAACCTACATACATATATACATACACACTCTATTAGAAACACCTACTCACATACACACTTATTTGAGCATCTTAATTTATAAATGGAAAATGGTTTGTTTTTAACAAGGGAGATAGATTTTTAAATTAAACTGGAGAACTTTTATATCACAAACGTGCGAATTTTTTTTAAGTATCAAGACCTTTTTTTAGTACTTATCTAAAAACGCTAAGACTTTTTCTAAAAACACAGACCTTTGTAAAGACGTTGGGACTTTTCTAAAGACGTAGGATTTTTTTTTTGAAAACTTAGGGAGTTTTTTTAAAAGAATTGACCTGTTTTTAAAATCTTTAAGACTTATCATAGAAAGCTTGAACATTTTTAAAATCGTTAGGAACTTATATAAAAACGTTGGGAATTTTCTAAAAAAAACATTGGGACTTTTCTCAAAAAAATTTAAGAGCTTATTTTTAAAATGCAGAATTTTTTTCTAAAACCGTTGTGACTTTTTTGAAAGACGTAGAAACTCTTATAGAAACATTGATTTCAGTAAAAACATTGGGACTTTTCTTAAACCGTTGAAACTTTTTTAAAAACGTTGATATTTTTTTAAAAACCTTGGGTATTTTCTAAACACTTTGGGACTTTTTTTCAAACGCATTTACGTTTGGAATTTTCTAAATACGCTGGACTTTTTGTAAAACCTTTACGTTTTTCTTAAAAAAACATTGAGATTCTTCTAGAAGCAGTTAGAAATTTTTTAAAAACGCTGAGACTTTTTCTAATCATGTTAAAACTTTTTCTGCAAGTGCTGCGACTTTTTCTAAAACGCTCGGACTTTTTCTGAAACCTTTGAAACTTTTTTCAAAAACGTAGGAACTTTTTTAAAAACATTGAGACCTTCTTAAACATGTAAGAACTTTTCTAAAAACGTTGGGTATTTTTTTAAAAGCGTTAGAAATTTTCAAAATTTGTTAGGACTTATATAATAAAGTTAAGACTTATTTAAAAACCTTAGAACTTACCTAAAAACATTAGAACTTACCTATAAACGTTGGAATTTTCAAAAACATTGGAACTTTTGTAAAAACGTTGGAAGTTGTGTGAAATTATGTTGAAAGCATTGTGACTTTTTTTTTAAAACATTGGAATTTATCAAAAGTCATTGGGAGTTTTCTTAAACGTTGGAAATATTTCTAAAAAAAACACTTGGGCTTTTTCTAGAAACGTTGGATCTGTCTAAAAACGTATGAACTTTTTTCGATCAGATCTTATCTAAAACCTTTGGGTTTTTAAAAACGTTGGGAATTTTCTGAAAACACTGCGACTTTTTCTAAAACTTTTGGGAGTTATTTAAAAACGTTGGGAATTTTCTAAATGCGCTGGGACTTTTTCTATTAAACGCTGGGATTTTTTCGAAAAACATGGAAAACAATTTCTAAAAGCGTTGGAATTTTTTCTAGAAAAACTCTGGGACTTCTTCTAAGAACGTAGAAAATTTTTCCAAAAAACGTTGGAACTTTTTCTAAAAATGTTGGAACTTTTTCTAAAAAACGTTTTAACTTTTTCTAAAAACGTTGAGACTTTATCAAAACGCTGAGACTTCTCTAAAAAAATGTTGAAACTTTTTTTAAAAACGTTGGAACTTTATTAAAAATATTTGAACTTATTTAAAATCATTCGGAATTTTCAAAAGAATTGGAAATTTTTCTGAGGAAAACACTAGAACTTTTTCTACAAACGTAGGGTCTTTCTAAAAAAAAGACCTAAAACTTTTTTAAAAACGTTTGAACTCTTTTAAAAACGCTGGGACTTTTTCTGAAAAATCTTGGCAATTTTTGAAAAAACGCTGGAATGTTATTGAGAACGTTGTAGCTTTTCTAAAAAACGCAGGGACTTTTTCAAAAAACGTTGGAACTTTTCAAAAAACGTTGGAACTAATATACAAGCGTCGGACCTTTTGTTTTGAAAACAACGGAAATTTTCTAGAATCGCAGAAACTTTTCTTATTATGTTAACACTTTACTTTAGACAACAATCCATCTTTGTGTATACCAATCTCCTAGTCCTCGCATCTCCCAACTTACAACCCTGTACCATATCTATATTTTTCAGTTTCTGTTTCAATTTCTGTTTCGATTTCTAAATTTCTGAATCTTTTTAATTTCAGCCTCGTCCTCCGCCTCTGCCTTCATCAGCCCCCGGTCTAGTCGACGACTTCATCAAAAGTTCCGTCTTTTTCCGATACAAAGAGGGATGCAATGACGCGGTCAGGAGAAAAGTCAAAATGATTGACTTGTTATAATAATAATAATAATAATCATAATAATAATAATAATAATCATAATGATAATAATAATAATAATAATAATGATATTAATACAAGTGTTAATTTAAATTTAAAACCTGAATATTTATTACCCCGTACAATTATATTTCTATGACCCAGAGAGAGAGGGTGCCCAGGTGTTTGTAACTTATTTCGTTTACGACTGTAAATTCGATACAATAATTCATAAACTGGCGGTGCCGGTGGTGCTGGTGGTGTTGGTGGTGATTTATGTCGCCACTTTTGTTAATTGCCATAAAACAACCGGTGTGTGGGGTACAATAACGCGTGTATTATGATTGGGGAAGATGGGATTAAAATATAATTTGTGATATGAGTCTAGTGTTTTTGGTTTAGGTGTTCCTCAAGGGAGTATGCTGAGGACAAATGTTTTTTTTTTCAATATTTTTGTTTAGTCTTTTGGTTACACTTATAACCAATTTGATGATGTTATGCTTGTTACTTGGTAGTGAAAAGTAAAAAATGTCTATCAGGCGTATTTTACATATAAACAAACCTAGGAAGAATGTTATGTTAAATGCACCATCTAAAATTATTATCATTATATCATTACATTCTTACTTGCTTGTTTTTACAGTTTCACTAACAAACAAGCATAAGATAGCGTCTATATTACGGCAGAATTGCCCCATTAATTTGTTTATTAGTAGAGTCTTTTTTTTATATTCTAGATTTATAATTAATTTGCTTGTCAGTAGAGTCCTTTTTTAATCTTCTAGATTTATATTATTTGCTTGTCAGTAGAGTCCTTTTTTATCTTCTATAATTTATTTGCTCGTCAGTAGAGTCCTTTTTTACTGTCGTGTCGAGTATCAATTTGCTCGTCAGTAGAATCCCTTTTCATATTTTACACTGCAGTATAATCTGTTCGTCACTAGAGTCCTCTTTCTCTACTAATGTCGAGATAGAGATCAGTAGAGTCCCTTTTTACCTTTATATCAAATTTGAGTTTGCTAGTTAGTATAGTCCTTTTTGGTCTTCTACTTTGCTCGTCAGTAGAGTCCTTTTATATCTTCTACGTTGATATTTAATTTGCTTGTCAGTAGAGTCCTTTTCTATGGGTTGATATTTATGAAGCAATTCTGCCGTAACAGAGCTTATTAATACAACTACTAATTTTAAATTAATATTGTAACTACTATAATTTTAATTTTTTTTAAAAAATCGTTGATTTATTTTTGTGTCGGGTTGCTCCCTTTAGGGGAATCCCCCAATTTTAGCGTTGGAGCAAATGGAGCCAGAATGAACAGAGAGTATCCGACTATATACTCCAATGGCGTGGCGGCGGGGGTTTAAAGTGATATTGCACATTAATTCACTTGACGCGAATATTACAAATTGTTACAAATGTCGGCGACGGCTACGACGAATTATTATTATTATTTATTATTTAATTTAAATTAATGGCAACGACGATAGTACACGAAATTATAACGGATATTTATTACGGGGTGGCGAATCGGACTTGTGAAACTTGAAATATTATGAACAATGAGTTTGGGTACGTTGTTCATTTGTTAATTGTTTTTATACTCGTTATTTGCAACGCCAAGAGTAAATTCTAAACAGGGTGACTAGTCACTAGTCACTCACAGGGTGCTGTTCAATTGCCACTGACCAAAACTATGTAGGCATAAACATAGAGAGACTGTATTAATGCGCAAACTGGGCTGAGAAAGTGGATTAAAAAATATAAAAGCGACTCTACCGATTAGCAAACTAAAACTCGAATAAAAATATAAAAAGAGGACAATACTGACGAGCAAACAAAACATCAGCATTGAAGACAAAAAGAGGAAGTTTGTGACAAGCAAAAGTGATACTCTACAAGAGTCTTAAGAAATAGGACTCTGCTGACGAGCAAATTAAATATCATAAAAGATAATAAGGGAATTCTATTGACGAGCAAACTGACACTCGGCATGAGACTTTAAAAAGAGGATTAAATAGATACGTAGAAAATAAGAATAGGACTCGATTGACGAGCAAACTTAAATTTGATATAAACATGAAATAAGACTTTACTAACGAGTAAACTGATACTCGATATGAGACTAAAAAGGACTCTACTGACGAGCAAACTGAATCTTCAATGGAGCAAAAAGGACTCTACTGATGAGCAAATAAAATAACAACGGAGATTAAAAAGAAAGTATTCTACTGACGAGCAAATTTAATTCGACGTGACACTAAAATGAAGACTACTGACTAGCAAATGGAATAGCAACGTAAAAAATACAAACGGACTCTACTGACGAGCAAACTCAAATTTGATATAAACATAAAAAGGACTTTACTAGCAAATTGATAATCGGCTTATCAAACTAAAGTGGACTCTACTGACGAGCAAACTTAAATTTGAAATGAACAATATAAAAAGTACTCTACTGACGAGCAAACTCTAACACTTATAATTTCTTGAACAGTTTCTTTTGAAAAAAAGCTCACAATTTTTAGAAAAAAACTGTATTCTTAGCAGTTATTAAATTTCTTTCAAACGTGCTAATTTTATTTTTAGAAAGGTTTTCGTTAAATTAAGGATAAATATTTTTATTTAAAAAAAGTCTGTATTGCCTTTAGAAAAGTTGTCATTATTTTAGAAAAAAATAGATTTTTTTATATTTTAGAAGTGCTAATTGTATTTAAAAAATGCTTTTGATCGTCTTGAAGTTTTATTTGTGTTAAACATATCATTAATTTAATTTTTTAATTTTTTACTAAATTCGAGCTTTCCACTGAGTTGTCACTAACCTGAAAATTGAAACATTTCCCAAAAACAAAACAAAATGCAGTAAAAAATCTTCCAATTCAATCGTTCAAATATGTTTATTATGTCTCGATTAATAAATACAATTTATAATACTTTAATATTTATATTAAGTTCATAATACTTTATTATCTTTTATCTAGTTATCTACCTTAATATCTTACAATTTAAAATCCAACGAAAACGAAAACATAAACATTGTGCAAAGTCTTTATATACTTTTTATTTAAATTTTTGATCACACTAGCTACCGTATTAATTATTTATTTATTTTAATTTCATAGCTAATTGAATAAATATTTTTGTTAAACTAATTATTGTTAATTAATTTTAGTATTTTGGATTTTTTTAACCTTAAAGTTTAGGTTTTAAATACATTTGGCCAATGAAGGGATTTAAAAATCTTATTAAATAATATTTATTCTATCTATTTCAATTTGGCACTGAAATCGTCGTCTATTTACATATATATTTAGTTTTATCTAAAATTATGGGCTAATTCTGGGGTAACATAGACGATAACATATTTGAAAGTGTCTATCTATTATCAGGCGTATTTTACATATAAACAAACAAAGAATAATAGCAGAATTCTAGATAGTTCAATTATCATAAGATTCTTCCTTACTTGTTTATATGTAAAATACGCCTGATCGTACAGCAAATAGATACAATTTTTGCAGTTTTTGGCAAAAATAAAGGAGTATAAGATCTAGCGTTGCCATGACAATGCTATGTTATCGTCTGTGTTACCGCAGAATTTGCTCCCCAATCTAAAATCTCGAGTCTAAAGGTGAAAAATAGTGGTAGAAGATGGTAGAATGTGGTAAAACTTGGTAGAATGTGCTGCAAGTTGAGCCAAAGGCGGAGAGTTGTTAAGTTTAGGAAAAGAGTTTTTGGTAAATGGTAGATCCAATGTGGTAGATAGATGGTATCCAATGGTAGGAAGTAGTGGTAGTAAAATGTAAAATTTGCTAAATTGGGAGGTATTGGTAGTTAGGATCAAAAAGGTAGCACAATTCTTAATTTTGAAGATAAATAAGGAAATGGGCAAAATAGTTGTTGGTACAAAATGTTGATTGATGGTTAGATTGTGTTAGATATATGAAAAGTAAGATAAAGTATGTGTCACGATGTTTGTTCTGAATAGACAACTAAACTACTGAACCGATTTTACTGCTCACTGTATGCGTTTACATTCTACTTAGGTTATTCCACAAATCAAAAGTTTTTCTTATAAATTAAAACTTTTACCACAATATTTTTTTACCTTAAGCTCGAGACTAATAGATTCGACTTAAAATCTACGTTAGAATATGCGTAATATTTCTAATATCATTATTGCACTTTTTTTTAAATAAAAATATTATGAAAACCTTACCACGTGGACTTGGTGGCGAAATCTGCCAAAAACGTAAACTACTTGACCAAAAACTGTTCTGTGCCATAATAATAAGCAGTCACCAAATTTACCAAAACTTCTTAATTTCTGCTACTTTTGATTCATTAGTGCAGTTGGGTTTAGGAATTTTAGCAAATTTTCACACAAGAGACATTGAGGGGACAATTCTGCCTCATAAAATAGCGTTGTCTTATGCTTGTTTATTGACAGAGAAAATTGTGAAGGTGTCTATCTATTTGCTGTGCGAGGCATATTTTACATATAAACAAGCAAAGAAGAATGTTATAACTGCAGGATTCTATTTTTTTGCTTGTTAACTTCCCGTAGCGTAAGTTATTGTAATCGTCCAAAAATCGAAATTGAAAATTTTTGCATTTCTTGACGTTTTGAAGGTTTCTCAACATTTTGGCATTCCTCAGAAAAAATGGATGTGTGTGTATGTGTTTTGTATGTCCGCATTTTTTAGTCTACGTTTTCGGACGCACGGATCAACCGATTTGAATGGTTTAACTAGTAGGGCGCATGGCATTGTGCCTTAAGGCAAAATTGCTGGAACTTCCCGTATAGTAATGAAATATTCGAGAAATTTTAAACGTAACTTTCATTATTTTTGCTATCTTGTTATATCTGAGCAAATTGATAAGGAGACGTGCTGATTAGTTTTTGGCAAAGGCAGGTCTAGCCGTTCTGAAGATATGGGGCAAAAAGTGCCAAAAACTGTAACTTAGTTTTTAAGAGAACGGGAGCGTCCAATTTGAATAATTCAAAAAACATTTCACTTGTATTAACAAGATGAAGAACTGATCAAATTTTCATGAAGGCAGGTTTCGCGGTTTCGGAGATCTAACAAAAAAAGTAAAAAAAAATGGCATTTGGTGGTCAAAAATGATCATTACATCATATGCACATCAAATTATCAGATATTTTATAGAGATTTTAACAATAAGTATAAATTTTGTTTACATTTCTATATATCCGTACCAATGTTTATCCGTTAGACGGCGACGCGGCGCTTACGCGCTTTAACATTTCGTCTCTATGCAGTGAAAGCAGTACGATTGCTTTGAAAAAAAAGTTCAGAATTTCCAAAATTTTTCAAAATACATTTATCTTCAAAAAGTTTTTTTTCAAAAACAAGTAAATTTTTGTCAAAAATTTATAGTTTATCAAAAATCTAATTTTTTCAGAGTAAATTTTTTTCAAAAATGTTAATCTTTCTGAAAAAAAATTATTTTTGGTACGAAAAGTTTCAGCAAAAGGCACTTCATTACTATACGGGAAGTTTCAGCAATTTGCCTTAAGGCACGATGCCATACACCACTAGTTTGCGTATTTTACATATAAACAAGCAAGGAAGAATGTTATGATAACAGAATCTTCGATGATGCATGCTTGCTTGCTTTGTTTATATGTAAAATACGACTGACCGCACAGCAAATAGACATTTTCACTGCTTCACTACCAATAGCGTTGCCGTGACAAGGCTAGTTTATGAGACAGAACCGCCCCCAGTAAATTTCGTAAAGTAAATGATATCATCCCAAACAAAATCTGTAGTTTTGTTGGCATACTGTATCCTTTACCCCATTATTCCTTCTCGTCCGATTCCTGGCACTTGACATCCGAATCGTTCTCCAAATTAATCTCCGTAGACTCGTCGTCTGTGCTCTTCCTAGACAATCCATTTTGTTTGATACTATTGGCAATCGATGCAAAATTTATCTGATTCTGTTGACTCAATTGCTGATTGTGTTGAGTCAGCTGTTGATTTTGCTGCTGCTGCTGCTGCTGTTGCAAAGCATGATGCATCAGGAGCCCTGCAGGAAATGTTAGACCTGCTGCTGCTGCCGCCTGGGGTAAAGAAATTAGATAAATTAGTAAAAAGAAAAAAGTTTTATTGTGTTATTATATAGTGTTTTTGTGTTGTTTTTTACCTGGAGGCCATGTAGTAAGGCTGCAGAATGCTCTCTGGCTCTACGTCTAAGTTCTAAGACTGAGGAAGACCTCGTGTCATCTGAAATGTATAAGTCAATGTGTAAATTTTCTAAAAGTTTAGAGAAATTTCTAGATTTAGGGGACAATACTGCCTCATAAAATAGCGGTATCTAATTCTGTTTTCTTGGTAGATGAAGATGTTCAGAAATAAGTTTCCGAAGCAAAAACTAGTCAGTAATCGCTTTCTGTTTTGAAAATTATAAAAAAATCTTCGAAAATCAGTTTGCTCGCAAGTAGAGTCACTTTTTACTTTCAAATTAATTTTTTTTTAGAAATCAGTTTGCTAGTCAGTAGAGTCCCTTTTTCTTTAAAAATTATAAAAACGACGTAGAAAATCAGTTTGCTCGTAAGTAGAGTTCCTTTTCCCTTTTCAATTCATAAAAATGACCTCGAAAACCAGTTTGCTCGCAAGTAGAGTCCCTTTTTTGAATTTATAAACATATTTTCAAAAATCAGTTTGCTCGTAAGTAGAGTCCCTTCCTGCTTTCAAATTATTTTTTTTTTCAGAAATCAGTTTGCTCGTCAGTAAAGTCATTTTTTAAAAATTTATAAGAATAGTAGAAATTTCTTTTTACTTGTTAATAATCATAAATTTATTAAACATATTCTAATATTGTCTAGGTTCATAAGTAAATTGAAATTTTTGGCAGATGATAGTTTTCGTTTGTTTTCAATGCAAAACAATGGCATGTTGTTTTTTTTGCATTTATTGCCATTGCATTTGCATTTGCATGCATTTTTTTTTCATTTATTTCTACAATATTGCACATACATCCCAGTACTTTATAATCACATACATCCTAGAAAATTTCCTTAACAAACTTCAGAAAGATTTATCAAAATCCGAATAATCGTTTAGGAGGAGTATACAGTGAGTGCTTGTAATTTAATATGAGCTTTATATAATAGCAATAAAGCTGAAATTGATTCTACGTTTTAGTTAGAAAACGTTTGTATGAGAAAAAGAAAAGGGCTGTTTTTAAGATTTTCCCGGCAATTATTCGATTTTTTCTCGACGTAAGAACCATCCTTGGACTTCAACGAACATTTCTAAAAAAAGAATTGGCCAAATTGGTCCAGGCGTTGTTGAGTTATGCGCTTGCCAACACATTTTGCGATTCATTTTTATATATAAGAAGATACGCCTGATCATTCGGCAAATAAATAGACATTTTCACAGTTTCACTAACAAGAAACAAGCATAAGCATAAGCATAATTTTATTACCGTTACTAAGAGTTGTGGCATTTGTCTGACCGTTCGTCTCGTCGCAGTTGTTAAGATTGGCGGCGGCTGCTGCGGCTGCCGCTGCTGCTGCAGCGCCGTGATGGTGGTGATGGTTGTGCAGCAGATGAGAGTCG